AGCGAGGACAAATCCACCCCGACCCCCATAATCGGCGTTTAGTAAATGGCCCCGTGCGTTTACTAAGCAGCGCTTTGTTGTTCGATTCCTTCGTCGGGTGCGTTTACTAAACGGTTGCGTTGTCGGGGTGCTTATTATCGGGGTGGATCTCCAGCCCTCTACTTCCGACTCTCGCTGCGCCTTCGGGCGTCCCCGGAGGTCGCCGCGCCGCGGCCGGCGCTCGGCCGCTCTGTCGGGGCCGACGCGGGACCGGACCCTCCCGGAGGTTGGGAGGGCCGCCCACTCTGTATACCTGCCTCGTGAGGCCCCCCGGGGCAGGGGGGAAGGAGTGAGCGGCGTGGCCACTCAGCAGTAGCAGATCTACTTGCCATAGGCGCGGGACCGAACCCTTCCTGAGGTTGGGAGGGCTGCCCACTCTGCACCTGCCTCTTGAGGCCCCCGGGGGAGGGGGGAGGAGTGAGCGGCGGGGCCACTCAGCAGTAGCAGATCTACTTGCCATAGACGCGGGACCGAACCCTTCCGGAGGTTGGGAGGGCCGCCCACTCCGTACCTGCCTCTTGAGGCCCCGGGGGGAGGGGGGAGGAGTGAGCGGCGGGGCCACTCAGCAGTAGTAGATCTACTTGCCATAGACGCGGGACCGAACCCTTCCGGAGGTTGGGAGGGCCGCCCACTCCGTACCTACCTCTTGAGGCCCCGGGGGGAGGGGGGAGGAGTGAGCGGCGGGGCCACTCTCGACTAGACGTAAGAGTGACCTTTCGCCGGAGTGACCTTTGGTGCGGGCATAACTTGGTCCCCCGGATCGCCGAACGCGATGCAGCAGCAGCGTTTTCTGCGGTTGTGTTTGGTCCCCCAGCGGCCCCTCAAAAGCCGCGCACCAAAGGTCACTCTTACCCAGGGTCACTCTTGCGTGCAGCCGACACTCAGCAGTAGCTGGTCTACTTGCCGCAGACGTGGCATCCTGGCGGTAGCGTTGCACACGGAGTGCCTTGTCTGTAGCGCTGTAGGCGCGGCACGTGCACGTAGTGCCCTTGTCCGCAACGCTGTAGGGCAAACCTTATCGGCATGAAAAGAGGATGCTACTTTTGAGTGCCATATTCAGCGGCTTCTGGTGTGCAGGTCCCACTGTACTCTGACGCCATCCGATCGTAGACTGCGTCGAACAGGCTGTCGTCGTGGAGCACGTCGAGGAAAAACTTGACCAGCCCCGGCTGGCCTTCTGATGCTGCGAGGCCGTGCTCTTCTACGTCATGTTTTTTCCATCCATCGCGTACCCTCTTGGTATCATCCCTGCTCGACAACCGACTGCGAAAAGATAGGAGATCTACGCCATGGTAAGGGATGAGAGGGAGGGGTAGGACGTCAGTTGTGACCTAGCGCGCCTAGCTTGCCACTCCCCCTCGTCCTCCTCCTTCTCCTCCTCCTCCTCCTCCTCCTCCTCCTCCTCTTCCTCTTCTTCTTCCTCCTTCTGCAGTGCTGAGCGTAGCGTGCGCCCTTCCGCCCAAGCCGGCGAGGGAATTTGGGAAGCCCGCTCCCTGGCGGTGGCGGTGGCGGAGGTGTTTCTGCTGCCCCGCCCGCCACGAGAGGGGCAGAGGAGCCGACGCGCGGAGCAAGCAGCCAGCAAGCAGCAGCTTGGCCACACCGTCGCGACGACGCTCACAGCCAGCGCGCTCAATCGTGTGGATGGTGCCGGCGTTCTCAATCTCTGCGTCTCTGGGTCGCTGTGAGAGAGGCCGCCGGGCGGCCTCGAGAGTCTTCAAATCTACTTCTGAGAAGCCCTTGGAAGGCATCTCGGACTTCGATGTCGCAAGATTGAGCTCATCCGGGGAGTCACTGCTACCCAATCGCTGGCTCGGATAGCACATTGTTTCAGTTCCACCCTGGATCATACCCCACCCATTCCTGACACATACTTGACACGGAGTAGGATCAGCAGTCCAAGGAAGAGAAGGTTGACGCTGAGGCGGATAGTGATGATGCTTTGAATGAGGACAACTGTCCAGGTCCCAGCCAGGTCGTCGTCCAAGGCTATGCCGACATGCTCGAGCTAATAGGGGGTTCACGGCTGCACCGGCGTTGGATCCTCGGACCAATTCAAGACGGCACAGGCGGTCCGAGGACGGCCCGAGAGAGCCCGGAGATGGCCCAAGAGGCCCCCTAAGAAGGCCCAAGATGCACCAGGGCTTCGAGAGAGACCTCCCAGACTCCATGACCACCAGCCAGCCTCCAATAGACCCCCAGTGCGCCCAAAGAACCCACGGAGAGGCCCCCGCAGACTTTGAACGTGCTTCCAAGAGGGTCCCAGCGGCTTTCCAAGAACCCTGACGGAGCCTCGTTCAAAGCCTCGATCACCCTCGGTCCTCGATGCCTTCCTCCTCCCTCCCCTATCCCTCCCCTCTCCCTTTCCTCCCTCCAGTCGGTACTCGGGGCTCTCAGGGAGCCTTGTTCAGAACCTCGATCACCCTCGATCCTCGATGCCTTCCGCTTCCTCCTCCCTCCCCTATCCCTCCCCTCTCCCTTTCCTCCCTCCAGTCGGTATCCGGGGCCGTGGAGCGAGCGTCAGGCGGCCCCTCTGGACGATGCGGGGCGGGAGGAAGGGGAGTGGACGAGGCGCGAGGCCCAGGACTGCATGACATTTATGATGTTCCGACCTACTTTAGCCTTGACCACCAGAAAGAATTTCGGGCACCCAAGAAGTACCGAAACAAACTCGAGTGTTTTCACGTGTCGGGCCCTGGGAGACTCGTCCGACACCGTTTCGACACTCTTTCGACACTTCTCCGGGTGCTCGCAATTATTTCAGTTTTGCGGTCTTTAAGTACGATGGGAGCAACATAACCTTACATGCGTTGCATCACAGCGTCATGGACTGCGCTAGAAACCAAGTGCGCGCGAACCGCATGCGTGGTTCTGGTATGTATATACACACACACACACCCGAAAGAGCGCTTTCTGCCGCTACTGGCAAGCCGCCTCCCCTGGTTCGAACCGGGGGGAGGGAGGCGGGGTCAAAGGGCCGGTTGAGGGGAGTCAGTGGTCCAGGCGAGTCGGGGTGGGGGATATGTTGATCATAAGCAGCAGTTGTTTGATTTCGGTTTGGTTGGATCCCTTGAGGCGGAGAGTCCAGGGAAGGGCGGGGGCGGCGACGACGACGGCGACGACGAAGATTCAAGGGAACAAAGTATCACACACGCCGACGGGGGCGGCGGATCTATCTATATGTCTATACATAGATATCGACACACACATTTATATACGTTTGTATATGTATATCTTTCTATATGGGAAAAAACGATATACACGCACACATATACGTATATCTACGTGCGTGTACATATACACATATACACATATATATATATATATATGTACGCACTGGTACATATGCACATACATATATACATATATACATGTATATGTGTATATGTATATATGTTTATACACATACATATACGCATGTACATGTCTCTTTCTATTTGCACATACATGCGTGTATATACTTGTAAGCATGTCCCCACATAGCTAGATCGATGATCCCACCTATAAGAATCTCTATCCATACATATATATACCCTTTATGTGCATATACATCTGATCACATGTTTATGCACGTTCCTGTGAGCCTACTCGTACACATGTATACATCAGTCGTTTTATTTGTATATCTATACAGAGGGGGAGAGAGAGAGAGAGAGAGAGAGAGAGAGAGAGAGAGAGAGAGGAAGAAAGATAGAGAGAGAGAGAGGGAGATACAGAGATGGGAGGCGACACACCAATATATCTATATGTATACACATTCACATGTGCATCTGTACGTATGTGTATATATATATGGTGCACACAGAGAGAACTATACGAATACATAAAGCTAAACATATGGAAAACCGAGAGCGGGGGAGAGAGAGGAGAGAGAGAGAGAGAGAGATAGAGAGACAGAGAGAGAGAGAGAGAGAGAGAGCGAGAGAGAGAGAGAGAGAGGGAGACCGACAGAGAGTGACAGAGAGAGAGAGAGAGAGAGAGAGCGAGACGGACATCCAGGAATATATATATATATATATATATAGAAAGAGAGAGCCACATAGAAACAATAATACAGGAGGAGGAGGAGAAGGGGGAAGGAGGAGGGAGGAGGAGGAGGACGAGGAGGAGGAGGAGCAGGGGGGAGGAGGAGAAGGAGGAACAGAAGGAAGACGAGAAGGAGGATGTGAACAATGCTTTGAGAATTGTGACCATGAGCAGGCTCAGCGGGAGGAGAAGGAGGATGATGATGAGGAGGAGGAGGACGAGGAGTAGCAGCAGCACGATGAGGGAGAGAGGGTTTATGATTCGGTGGGTTGATCAGGACAGGTCGGATGAGGCGGATGAGGACAACGAGGCGGACGAGGCGGATGAGGGGTAGAGGGAGGATTGACGCTCCCACCACTTGGTTTAAGACCTTTAACGCACAAGGAGGAGGATGAGCAGCAGGGCGATGATGATGATGATGATGATGATGATGATGATGATGATGATGATGATGATGATGATGATGCTGATGATGCTGATGATGCTGATGATGCTGATGATGCTGATGATGCTGATGATGCTGATGATGCTGATGATGATGCTGCTGATGTTGATGCTGCTGATGCTTATGCTGCTGATGCTGATGATGATGGTGCTGCTGATGGTGATGATGGTGTTGATGCTGATGCTGATGCTGCTGCTGCTGCTGCTGCTGATGATGATGATGATGATGATGAGGAGGAGGAGGAGGAGGAGGAGGAGGAGGAGGAGGAGGAGAAAGGAGGGGAGGAGGAGGAGGGGAAAGGAGGAGGGAGGAGGGAGGAGGGAGGAGGAGGGAGGGAGGAGGGAAGAGAGGGAGGGAGAGGAGGGGAGGGAGGAGGGAGTAGAGGAGAGGAGGGAGGAGGAGGAGGAGGAGGAGGAGGAGGAGGAGGAGGAGGAGGAGGAGGAGGAGGAGGAGGAGGAGGAGGAGGAGTGCTAATTGAAGAGCCGGCGCCCAGCATGCACTCCAAGGGCCCCGCCGAGGGCTCGGACGAGCAGGACTGGCCCCGCCCCATCGGCTGCTCCTGCTGTTCCCTCCTCCCCCCTCTGTTCCTTTGCAGCCAATCGTGCCGCAGTTCGAGAACGGCGCCACAGGCGCGTCGCCCCATGGTCTGGTCAGCTTGCTTTCCATGTCTGAATTCTCAGTGGGCTACCCCGGGATACCTCTCACTCGGTGCAGGCCCCGGGTTTTTTCCTATCCGAGTTGAGCACGTCTTCGCGACACTGCCATCGTCCGCCGCCGCCGCCCTCTGTGCCTTCGGCCGCTGCCCAAGGCTTGCCCAGCTCCAGGCTTGCTTGGTTCATGACAACGTCACCATCGTTCGTCGCAGGGGAGTGCGGTTGTCTTGCCCCTACAGATCCTGCTGCTGCCGCTGCTCCCGCCCTCTTCGGCTCCTCTCGCCCCCGTCGGTCGGTCGAGCCCCCCTCCGATTAGACATCGGCTCCGCCTTCTTCGTCGCTGCGCGTCGGCTGTGCTGCCACGCCTGCTCGCCACCCCGCGAGCTGCAGTGGGTCTTCCGTGGACCCCCCTGGTGGAAGGCTTCTCAGAAGCTCCCCTGATCCTTAGAAGGCGCAGGCTTTATCTATAGATATAAGGCCCGCGCCCTCTAAGAAGCAGCCTCCTTCTAAGACGCCCCCCCCGCTCCCCGTGCAGTCAAACAGCATCGTAACGATGAGCGGTTTCCCGAGGTTGCCCTTGCATGGTTCCTCCCTCGGCCCACCCTTGGCCGCTGCCGCTGGCCGCGCCCCGCTCGCAGGGTGCCGACATGGCCTTCCACAGGCCCTTGCATCCTTGGCCTGCTCCCTTCTACGGCGCGAGGAGGAGGAGGAGGAGGAGGAGGAGGAGGAGGAGGAGGAGGAGGAGGAGGAGGAGGAGGAGGAGGAGGAGGAGGAGGAGGAGGAGGAGGGGAGACGGAGGAGGAGGATGGGGAGGAGGATGGGGAGGAGGAGGAGGAGGAGGAGGAGGAGGAGGAGGAGGAGGAGGAGGAGGAGGAGGAGGAGGAGGAGGAGGAGGAGGAGGAGGAGGAGGAGGAGGAGGAGGAGGAGAGGAGGAGGAGGAGGAGGAGGAGGAGGAGGAGGAGGAGGAAGGAGGAGGAGGAGGAGGAGGAGGAGGAGGAGGAGGAGGAGGAGGAGGAGGAGGAGGAGGAGGAGGAGGAGGAGGAGGAAGGAGGAGGGAGGAGGAGGAGGAGGAGGGAGGAGGAGGAGGAGGAGCTCCGCGGCGCCCCGCCAAGCACTTCGGCCCTCTGCCCCTGGGGTGTGTCTCTTCTTTGCCTGGCTGCGGGGCTCGGCAGAGGAGGGGGCGCCTCCTGGGCCCCAGCCCCTCGTCGCCCCTGCGGCCGTGCTCCGACGGCACTCACGAGGCGACAGGCACACACAAGTGGCCAACCAACGATCCCCAGGAAGATGTGGGAACCTATGAGAAGTGGGCGGGGAGGCGAACTTCCCGAACATGTGAAACACTCCTTTTTTTTCTCTCTCTCTCTCTCTCTCGCTCTTTCTCTCTCTCTCTCTCTCTCCCCCTCTCTCTCTCTCTCTCCCACTCTCATTCTATATAAAATTGTACAGGTATATACACACACATGCATGTGCCCCGAGGCCCCTCGATGTACGCTGGTGCTCCTCCCTGCTCCTCGCCCGCCCCTCCTGCGCGCGGTCCCCGTCGGGCGGGACCACCCTGCGGCTGGGAGCCGCGGCCCGTGCTCCGCTTCCTCCCGCGGCCCCCGCGGCCGTGCCCGCCCCTCCCCCCCCTTCTCCGCTCCGTTGCTGGCCAGGCGTGGCGCTGTGGACGACGATCACTGGAGAGGGGGCATCTTGCCAAACACTTTCCAAATGTCCCAACCATGTTTTGAGCGACGGCCAAAGCACGGGAAACCGTGCTCGCACACGTGTCAAGCATGCTCGGTGTTTGGACATTTTGACAACAGGTCTACTTCAATGATGAGACTGTTAGAGTGTCCATTGTCATGGCATCCGCTCACGTGGTGTGAGTGTGAGTGTGTGTGTGTGTGTGTGTGTGTGTGTGTGCGTGTGTGTGTGTGTGTGTGTGTGTGTGTGTGTGTGTGTGTGTGTGTGTGTGTAGGGCGGGCCAAGCCCGATGCGCCACCCTGCAAGCCCCCCCAGCCCTCGCCCTCGCTTTGCCCAGTGGCTGCCCCGATCCTTGGGTGCCCGCTGCCGTGTTTTCCAAGGTGGCGGCGCCAGGAAGCTGGGTCCGCTGACGGGGTCAAGGCGTCACCCACAGCCATGTCGTAGCGCGCTCTCTCGCGCGCGCCGCCCTTGCCCCTCCCCACCGCCGCTCTCGACGGCGGCTTCATCCAGGCGGGCGCGCGCACCGCATGCCCTGCCTTCCGACTCGTCCGACTGGCGCGCTGCCGCCACATCCTGGTTTTCATGCGCCTTCTGAGCCTAGCCTCGCCTGGCAGCAGCAGCGCCATGCCGTTGCCTGCCTGGATCGGCGACGTGGCCTCAGGGTCTCTCTATGCCGGCCTGTGCTCACCCCTCCTCCAGCCACCCCGAGGCCGTCGGCGGCATGGGCGCCGCCTTCGCAATCACGCAGCGTGCGGCAGGATCGCCCCTCGTTGGCGCGGCGGCGACCCCAGCGCGGGCGTCCAAGGCTGAACGCCGCCAGTGGTCTGGTTTCGGCCAGTATTGAACGATCTGCGCGATCGGAAAGCCGCGATGATTCAAGGTTGGAGGATCTACGCAGTGTCAGGCCCGGCCCCAAGACGCCTGGTGTCTCTCACGCCGCGTTCCGCCGCCGGCTCCCAGCAGTGTCTGCTGCGCGGCGACGGGGAAGGACAAAAGGAACGATAAGCAAGCAGACGACGGCAAACGCGTGGGCGGGAGGCCAGGGCCAGCGGGACAAAGCAGGCGGGCGAGCACGCGGCAAAGGACAACGGGGAGACAGCAAGCAGGGAACGGCGAGGAAAAGGATGCGGAGGGACGGGAGGGAAACATGACGGAAGGGGGGAACAACCGCAAGCAGACGTGCCGTAAGAGAAGGGCCACCTGCGACGAGTATAGCGGCGACGCCGACAATGCGACGGAGGCCCATAGGCCTCCGTCGCAGGTAGAAATGGAGCGGGTGGCGCTCATCGAATTCGTTGTGGGGGGGTCGCCGTGGGGTGTCGTCGTGGGGGGATCGTCGGTCGGGACAAGGCGTCGGGAAAGGCGTCGGGAAGGGTGTTGGGAACGTTGTGGAAGGCCTGACAGAGCCCAGCGCGCCGCGGCTTGGTGGGCATTGCCTTCTGCGGGTTCCATCCACCGCCCCGCCGAGGAAGGGGCGGCGGCCACCGCGTGTGAGTAACCGCCAGCGCGGCGCCCGCGGACGGGGGGGCGCTGGTGCTGCTCAGCGAGGGCGGGGGTGGGTGGGCGGAGGGCGTCAGGCAGCGCCAGGAAGGCCTCGCACGGCGTCCGCCGCGGAGGCAGCAGCGGCCGCGGCCAGGCTGGCCGCGGCCGCCCCCGCCCTTCCAGACTGCTTCTGGAAGGCGCTGCGACGCCGCCCGCGCGTGATCCCTGCGCAGAGCAACGGAGAGTCGCTTGGCATGTTGGTCCGCAACCAGTGCGGCGTCTTCCCCCGTGGCGTCAGCCACCCGTTTGGCCAGGACCCCGAAAGCCTTGGGCGCCTCGCGGCCCCACTCGCCGCCGCGGGCTTCCACTACCATGGGGAGAAATATGGGGAGAGGTTCGCAGTGCCAGCCAGTGTGGCGCCCGTCAGGAGCCCGTCGAGCGCCGCGCTGTCCACCGCGTCGGAGTGGGCTTTCTGGTCGCCGTGTTGCGCGCGGTCGAACACCACCCGGTACGCGTTCCGTACGATTGCATTGTGGGCCTGCGCCGGGGCCGCGACTAGGCTGCCCCCGTCGCGGCCAGCGTTGTCGGAGTAACCGGGGTAGAGCGGCGTCGGAGGGCGAGCAGCCGCTGTGTTGCTCCAGGCAGGCCCGGGCAGCGTCGTCCACGGCCAGCAAACAGGTGGCGTGCGCAGTGGGCGGCACCACGCGCGCGGAGTAGCTCAGCTAGCAAGGGGCGATGCCACAGAAGATGCAGCGCGACTCGCCCGTTCTCGAGCCGCAAAGAGCCTCCAGCAGCGTAGTGGCGCTCGCGAGCCGCTGCTTGGCGTGCTCCGTGCAAAAGTCTGGCGCGCCGAACAGCTCGAAGCTGCGAGCGGCGTGGAGGCAAACACCTGGCGGTAAACCATCCAGAAACACGCTGGAGGCGTCTCCGCCAATGAGGATCCCCCGCGAGTCAAGCGTCGTCCGAGTAGAAGAATCTCAGATTGACGGCGCCGTCGGCGTGGAGCCAGTGTGAACAGCAAAGACCCTGGGGGGTCAAGGAAGATAGTTGACCAGCGGGAGTACCACCAGTCTGCCCAGCGTGCCAGCCCAGGAAGCTCTTCGTGGATTGCGCGGAGCATGTTGTGCCTGTCCAAGGTGTTGATGGTGATGGACAAATCCAGCTTCACGAACACCCCCTCCTGGTCCTTCAGTCCTAGGTGGCGGGTCCACCACTGGCGCGCGACATGCGCCGCAGCCTCGGCGCCGCCGGGGGCCGCGACGCTGATCTGGAGGGGAGCCAGTCGGTCGCACGCCGCAGCGGTTCCCTCGTGGCAGATGCAAGCGCCGACGAGGCGCCGGAGTATTTCTCCGATGGCGACCGGGCGCAGGCCTTCGTTCATTTTTTGGGGGGCAGGGCCACCAGAGAGACGCCCGCGAAGTACTCGGACGCGGGCGGCGGGGCCTGCCCCACGGCGCAGAAGCCAACGATGTCCCGAAGCTGGTCGGTGACATCGCCCCTGTGGGCCGCGATGAGCAGCGCGTATTTTTGTTGGATTCGGAAGCCCGTTGGCCCGACAGTCGGGCCCCAGGGGACAGCCAGCACTTCCCCCCCGACCGCGTCACCGTCCACCAGTGAGGCAACGTCCGCGTGGAAAACCGAAACACAAGGATCCCCCAGCTTCGCGGCAGCGCGGGTGTCTCTGGCGCGTCTGCTCGACGACGGCAGGGGTGACCT